TTAGTCCTTAATTATGATAGTAAAGGAGGGAGAAAAGCACACCTTTTTTGCTTGCGTAACAACACAATGTGTCAGGTGTTTGACTTTCTTCCACTCCACTAGTTACTACAACAGTTTCAACGCCCATCCTGTGAATTGCATCCATGCCACGTATGCAGGCTTTCTCGTTAAATATAGTGAATCCAACCAATTCACTGAAGAGAATGGATTACCTTAACATTCATAATTTATTATCAACATACCCTAACTCAAAAGCATTTGGCGTTAAGACATTGGCTAGAGGTACCACTACATCTCTATAAACGGGAAGCAAAGTTTTCGGCACATACTTGAAAAAAATAGTTGAACAGTATAAAGAACTGAGAAAATGAGAAGACGAACACTCACATACTCTCCATTATCCCCCATTACTGGATCGCAAACTGAAAAAAACCCTAATACGCCCGTAATGAAATTAGAAATTCACAAAAACTGTTGACTCGTTACTGCAGTAGAGAAGAACGAGAGTACAACATTGAGGGAAAATTTTACCGAAAACAATACTCGAATTCTTTCTTTTGAGATCTTTCACTATATCAGCGATCTTCCTCAAAAATGTAGGATCCCCGCAGTATCCTGAAATAAAAGTTTTTAGCTCCTAAGACATTTCTTAGGTTAAAACATATGCTGGGAAACTAGTGATACTTTTCTATTAACAGAAAACTGATTGAACTCTAAACTATTATGAATAGACAATGATTCCTGTATGGAAACAACAACTTATTGTAAAACTGTTTAGGCGTAAAGAAGAATAGTACTCAAAACAATATACAACGAATCAATTTCGTAGCCATTACTTGATCTGATGAATAATTGAAATAGAAAGCACAATTGATGTTTGCGTCAATAGACATCTACGAGAGGAATCACAAACGACAGTAACGATGCCTGGTACTTCGTAATTTTCACTATAAATTGTTGGACAAGCCACCTATATTCTCCGATAACATCGTCTGAATCATATCGCCTTACGGTGAGC